ATAACAGCTCACCGGAAGTGTCACTGCTCGCGCCCACCTTGGGTAGCCTGACATATTCCACCCCTCCTTCTGAACAAAAGGAATGCGCGAGGGTCGCACAAAAAGCCAGGGGAACTCCTGATCGCCCTCTCGCTCCGTGCAGAGGCTTGCGGGCTCTTCCTGCAACCTTGCCAAGACCCAGCGACCCAGGCTCGCACGCGAGGGCTCGGCAAACAACCCCTCCTTCCAAACAAAAAGGATGCACAAGGGTCGCACAAAAAGCCAGGGGAACTCTTGATCGCCCTCTCGCTCCGTGCAGAGGCTCGGGGGCTCTTCCTGCAAGCTTGCCAAGACCCAGCGACCCAGGCTCGCACGCGAGGGCTCGGCAAATAACCCCTCCTTCCGAACGAAAAGGATGCACGAGGGTCACACAAAAAGCCAGGGGAACTCCTGATCGCCCTCTCGCTCCATGCAGAGGCTCGGGGGCTCTTCCTACAAGCTTGCCAAGACCCAGCGACCCAGGCTCGCACGTGAGGGATCGGCAAACAACCCCTCCTTCCGAATGAAAATGATGCGCGAGGGTCGCACAAAAGCCAGGGGAACTCCTGATCGCCCTCTCGCTCCGTGCAGAGGCTCGGGGGCTCTTTATGCGACCTTGCCGAGACCCAGCGACCCAGGCTCGCACTCGAGGGCTCGGCAAACAACCCCTCCTTCCGAACGAAAAGGATGCGCGAGGGTCGCATAAAAAGTCAGGGGAACTCCTGACCGCCCTCTCGCTCCGTGCAGAGGCTCGGGGGCTCTTCCTGCACCCAGAACGAAAACAAGCAATCCAAGCTCGCACTCGGAGGCTCTGAAAAATGCGATAAAAAGGGCACCGAGCCCATTACGATCCAGGGGTTCAAAGGCTGGGCCCCCAAAGGTTTCGACAGCCACCCCAGGACAAATAGAGTCAGGGATGACTGTGGGCAAGCTCGTACATGGCCAATGCCCAAGCAAGCAAGTGCTTGGGAAGCCCTAAGTCATGTCCAAGACCGGCAGGGAGGTCTCCTAATGGGATCCCACCGTATGGAGGCATCGAGCCCCCAGGGCCTATCGAACGGCCCTGGGACCCACTAGAGAAGCCCTCTGGTACTTTTGGAGTGTGTCTCTGGACCGCTAGCCGACCCCTATCGAATGGGGCATGGGCCTGCACTTGGACTGACCTGATAACAGCTCACCGAAGATGTCACTGCTCGCGCCCACCGAGGGTAGCCTGACATATTCCACCCCTCCTTTCGAGCGAAAAGGATGCGCGAGGGCTGCCAAAAAAGACAGGGAACCCACTGATCGCCCTCTCGCGTAGTGTAGAGGCTCGGGGGCTCTTCCTGCAACTAAGCCAAGGTCCAGCGACCCGAACTCGTACTCATGGGCCCGGCAAACGCGATAAAACTCCTTACTCAACAGAGAAAAAGCCCCTGGAGGAGTAAATTCACTCCTCCAGGGCCTCGAAAACTTCTGCCCGGCCAGCCACGCTTTCGCACCCACCGGAACCACGAGTACAAAACACAATCCCGACGGGAGCCGCTGCAAGCTAGAATCTCGATAAAACCTCAGGGAGAATGCTCGCACTCTCCCCGAGGCTCCGGGGCTACTGTCGGATAGCATAAAAAGGGGTACCCTAAGCAAGAACCGAAAAGATTGCTTAGACCTTGCTTATATCAATGCCAAAGGACGATCACGGGGTCTCAGCTGATTCTCCGATTCGCCCGAGGCCCGCGCCGCAAAGGCCTCGGACGAATGGCTAACTCTCTGCCTCGCCGAGGCCCTCTCGCCGAGGCCCCGCCCCGCTAGGCCCTGGACAGGTTACCGATTCTCCGATTCGCCCGAGGCCCCGCGCATAAAGCCTCGGACGAAATATCGATTCTCCGACTCGCTCGAGGCTGGCTCGGCAACAACCTCGTCGCCTCCGTCTCGACCGACTTCTCTGACAAAACATCACGCGTCCAACCACTCCCGCGACGTCAACCGCACGTCGACGCAGTGTAGCAGAGCGGCCGACGGGACGGGAGACGGATCGAAAGCGGGGTTACTGCCATCAGTGCAAGATCGCGCGCCCATGATCGGCGCCCAGATCGCCTTGTGCCACCTAATTCCTGCTCCAGGAACAGCGTGGCGTGGGGAGTCAAGTCCAGGTCACTATAGCCTCAGAATCAGTGTATAGGACCTACTGCTCCCTCCAAGCCTCGGCAATCCACTTCAGGGTCTCGGCAGCCTCGAGATTTGCGCCCGCCGAGCCCCCCACGATGGCTCGGCCTCGGCACCAACTGAGCCTCGGCTTTTTACACTATGAACGTACAGCGACCAGCACGTCGTCGGCCATGCCCTGCACCAAGCTATCACTAGAGCTCCCACGTCGCACAAGATCGGGTGTGACCGGCGCGTTGCTCCAGTGCATCAAGGACAAGACCACTCCGTTGACCATGCCGCCACAGTAGTAAGCTACAGGACTCAGGCACGCCACCTCCGCTCACACGACGCCGCATAGCAAACACATGTATCACCCCTGTCCCCCCTTCAACTATAAAAGGAGAGACCGGGGCCGTTTCTAGACAGAAAAAAAGATAGACGAACTCACGCATAGGCTCACATAGATCCAGACACACGCTTCCCCGCTGCCTGAGAGCAACGTCTCAAACAGCCCACACCGATTCATGCAGAGACCTGGGACTAGCTCCCTCTCTCGCCCAGCTTGTAACCCCCTACTACAAGCACTTCGGTGCAAGGAATACAAGATCGATCTCTCAGACTGGACGTAGGGCACCGATTGCCTGAACCAGTATAAACCTTGTGTCTCTTTGCATCACCATCCGGGATAAGGGGCACGCAGTTCAAATTCACTATTTGGTTGAGGACCCCCCGGTCCAAAACACCGACACTTACCTAGAATGGTTAGCTAATGAAGTAATCAAGACTGCTAATAAAACTTGACTGTAAGGATGAACTATTAGTGATGTTTTCCGCAAACAAAAAGAAAACAGCAAACACATATTGCCTATCATATCCTTGAGAGTCGATAAACTATTCCCACTAGTCGGGTAAATCTTGCGAGTACATTGTGTACTAAGGGTTTATTTTACCCCTGTTGCAGAGGAGTAGCTCTTGTGTGGAGGATTCTTCTGGTGGGCACAAACGAATCCTTGTATCGTTTCCGCTAGATATTTATTTTTATTCCGCTGTTTAATTATCGCACTCTGAACTCTGATATTGTAATAAATAATTTTCAAGAACTCTTGTTATATGAAATGGACTAAGTATTGTAAGCTTGTACTCATTATTGGATTCTGGATGTAAAACGTGGATTGTTTCGAGTTCTCTCTTAGGGTGTGCTCGACGGAACTGTCCGATGTAGCTCACTTTCGACGTGTTTAGTGTCTAGTGGAAGACGAGCGCCTCCAAAAACGTGTTATTTCGGGCGGTTCTGCCACATAGATCCCCAAATCCTTTCTTACATATCTGCCTGTGTTTTTCGTGATATCACCTATTATTAATTAATCTTATAAACTGTGATTTGCGGGATGGCTCGCCGCCATGGCTGCTTTGCCGATCCGATCTAAAACAAACGGAGAGGAAAGGAAGAAGATGACTTAGCTCCTGAAACGTTATTTCTAACTGGGCTGTAGTTTTGTAATTGTGTGCACTGTGCCATGACATTGAGCAATACCGTCTTTGGTTGTTGTACACAGGTGAAACGTTACCAGTTTTAACATGTGTTAAGATAGATGAGTTTACCCCGTTATACCCGCTAAATGTGTTGCATCTAGCACCACTCAATACCTAAAATGTTGCAGAAGCTTAAACATTACATGATCCTGTTAGTAGTACCTGCTTCTTTACTAGTAGGGTTCTGCCGCTATCTTGCTTAGGCAGAGAATTTCAAATTGTGCATAATGCAGCTATTTCTATTACCAGGGAATACCCTAAGGAAGTATCGACTAGATAAACCTTCAAATGTAAACAACAAGCTAAGAACTACATTCACTGCTATCAGCAGGTCATTATCATTGCATTGCAGGAGGCACATGCAAATTTTTGTGTGTATTCCAACAAATTCCTAAAAGAAAAAAAAAAGGTAGGTCCTGAAGCACTAGACAATATTTTGAGTGTGTGCTACACCTAGTCAAATTCACCTGCCGACAGACACATTCATGGCATTATAGTTTCACCTTCCTACTCAATTTGCCTCCTCGTGTGATAATCGCACCCACCAGCTAAAGTTCAACACTCCTATGCAACACTCGACGATTCGACACATAACGACACACCGATCAAAACTGATCAAATGCAGATGGGAAGCAGCATTTACCTGGAGCCGGCGATGACACAATTTCACCTTCTCTGCTAACCGCCACTGCCGCCGCCCTCGCCCTCGCTCTTGTCCTCACCCTCGCACGCCGCTGCAGCTGCGTGCTTGAGGGAATTGTTGCCATGAGCGGCGAAAAATTTGGGGTGGGTGTGGCCGTAGCTGAAGCCATGAGCGGGGAGGGGTGGAGCTGGAGTGGGCAGGGTTGGTGTGGTGACAAGAAGAAGATATCCATCTAACTATACTCATTGTCCTTTTAAACACAGATTGGATGCATCTGAACCAATGCATGCACATAATTTATTTGTCATGAATAGTGCCAGTGTGCCACCAAAAGACACCTAAACCCAAAAAATATTGGATAGAGAGATGATGTACTCTCTAGGAACCAAGGAGAAACATTTAACACTTCGTGTGTACACATTTAGGTTGGATGGTGAATCAGAAGAAGAAAGGAGGGACCAACTCAAATCTATGTTCATAATAAGTATCGAAATCCAAATTCAACATATAAGAGAACTAAAGCTAGAATAATTCAAGGAACAATAGCAAAACGAAGGAAAAAAAAACATTTTGACCTCTACTCCACGGAGCCGCCGCTGGCTGGATCCCCATGAACCGCTCGGCATAGGGGTGATAATTGATAATACGCCTGATGGTACCAGCGCTGGCAACCCGGCCTTCATTCGCATCTCGCGGTCGGTCGAAGGCGCAGAGTACGGCCATGGACACGCGAGCGGCTGCGAGAAGTCCACCGTTGGGCGAACTGCGGAACCCCCTGATGAAGTGCAAGGCAGAGCCGCAACCTGCGCCGACCACGAAGGCGCCGCCTACGAGGTTGATGAAGCGACAGCGCTGGTCCGGGAATGTCATTGTACGTCGCCATCGCCATCTCGATCTGTGCTTATATTATCGGCTCCCGAACGGCGGCGGCGGCAGTGCGTCGAATGACATTAATCGCTAGGGTCGACTAGGGTTGGTTTGATTAGAGATAGCCTTCAGAGTTTAGAGGCATGTCTCTCGACCCTTTGATGTCTATTTATACGACTCTACTAGGGTCGTCGATTTTGCCCATGATCTTGTCACTGGTGCAACCGACGGTCACGGCCTCAAATGCGATGCGTGAGGTGATAGCAAAGCGCGAAGCCCATCTATCTATGATGCTACGTGTTGGGCCAAAATGTCTCCGACTGGGGCTGGGGCCGGCCTTTTAATACGTTGTCTTGTTTGCTGGCCGAGGGGAAGAAGGGAGACGAAGTCGACGAGTGAAGCAGAGCAGAGCAGAGCTCCGACGGCGGCCGGTGGCCGGCCTTAGGGACGAGTCCAAAGGATAGTGGTGGAGTTGGTAAGGTTGCCGCCGGAGAAACAGTGACAAACGCTGCTACATGCATTTTGTCCGTCTCTCGCGTGGTCTCTTGCCGGCTACTCCCTCCGTAAAAAAAAACGTAATTATGGACGGAGGGAGTAGCGAACATTTTTTGGAGCCAAACGAGGAACACAACACAACGTGCACTTCTAGAATTTGATTTTTTTAAAACAAATAAGTACACCTCTATATATAAGACAAACTAACTTTACTTGTCTTTTTATACTTTCTCTCTTCTCAAGATGTAATAATTACATCTTTATAGGAGCATATATGTAATTTCTCATTATCTTTTATCTCTTTGCATACACTCTACAAGTCTACTTATTTTGGACGGGCGGAGTAGTCTAAGCTGGTGATTAGTTGGACCGCGCGCGTCTGTTTAATACACTAATCCCCACGCCTTTCTTTTCCCAGTGCTAGGCAACGTCAGAGTTGGCCGGCCAGGCAATCGAGGCCTCGGCTCGGCGTGCCGACGCGCGCGGCCATCATGCGCGGTGCCGGTGGTAGTGGCCGCGCCTTTCGCCCGGCGCGCCCGGTCAATCGCGCAACCAACACACGTCCCCCTAAAAAAGCACCGCAATGGAGCGCCCTTTCTTTCGCGTCTCCCTTTTCACAGTTTGTCAAGCACGCTTTACCTCCGTCCAGCACTAATCAATGATCCATCACCCAGAGACGGAGACCCATGCATTTTCGCTGGTCATCAATGGCTGTCTTCAGAAATCTCCGTAGCGATTTGTTCCGGCCGGAGAATCAGAAGAGGAATCTTAATCGTTCGTTCGTTTGCAACAGTTGGACGTCTACGGCCAACAAAACTCCCTGGAAGAACTTACAAAATACGTATTCCGTATAATCTCCCGACAACATCGCATAGATTCAGGTCAGGTGCAGCATACAAAGATAGTACTCGTACACGTACGGGACTGCAGACGGACATTTCACCAACCCAACAGTCCATTCACTTCTCGGTTCACGCCACAAAGTCGTAGGCTCTCAAAGCACGGTCCCATTTTTCTTTTTCTTTTTCTTTTAAAAAAAACTCTATTATTATTATTCGGTCGCAGGTGTCGCAGGCTAATCAGCTCACGCTGACGGAGGCGGCGCAAGGAAAAGACGCGACGACGAGGCGGCCGGGCGGGCGTGCGTCGTGTCCGCGGCGAATTCGTCAACAAAAAATCTGGGGAGGGGATTCCCTTCCCGGTTACGCGAGAAACGCGCAGGGCGGGATGGGGGATGCATTAGGTGAGTGCCGAAAGGCTTTCGGTTGGCACGTCCGTTTCGGCCATTGACTTGCCCTCCTCGCCAGCGCCTGACTTGTGGCGTCCCATCCCAGCGAGACCAAGTGTCAGGCTTAGGTTAGGAGCTGCTGCTTGTGGTTGTGGGTAACTGAACCGCGGATTGATTGATTAGTCAGGCAAGAAGGCTCCGGCCGTCCGGCGACGGATTATTATTAAAAAGATAACGTAGGCAGCCATCGCCGCTCAACTACGACTGCTGCGAACCGCAAGCGATGATGTGGGATTCCTGAATCCTGGATGTGTCTTCCTATCCAAGAAGTCAAGCCCCGTTATCAGGCTTTGACGCGTCATTTGGGGTTCTTTTCTTTGCAGCAATTATAATACCTGTGCGCCTGGATCGATCGAACGAATGGACATGGAATCGCCACACGGGCTGATGAGGGTGCAGTTAACCTTGTTGGGCGGGAGTTGAGCTAAACACGCTGAAAAGAATGAACAGGTGAAAGTAGAGGCGCATACTTTCCTTTCCTTTCTTGACGCTTCCATTTCGAAGCACGGGCGCTTCCACCCCAAGAGGGAAGAAGCGGAGCACGTGTCACGTTTCGATGCCAGACATCGGCTTCGCCGGCCTCGCCTAGCTTAGCACTCCACTTATCGTGGCCATCCATCGGCGTCCAACTGAAACCCTGCGACAGCGACTATCGCCATGCGGACGCCGGACGGGGACTGAAGGGAGGCTCGGCACCGTCCGTCCGCCTCATTCATTTCGCGAGCGACCACGGTTCGATTTATTACAGTATTATATTATTATTATTTTATATCGAACGAAACTCGCATGCCATGTGTGTGTGTTTGCGACATGCAGTATGCATATGATTCTGTTTATTATGTAACTTCTCGCAGACCGTATCGGACAATACAAATCAAGGAGTGCATAAAAAAACAAGTGTTTGAGGTCACGTTTACGCGATCAAGTGCAGGCCGCGTGAATCTTCGGCGGAACGGACAGCTAATTAATTAAACCTCTAGTATCTGGAGGCCTAAAAAACAGCTGTTCTCAACGCCGCCAAAAGTAAGCGATAGAATACTGGTCCCCCAAGCAGCACCTTTGTGCGTAGCAATGTAGCATGCCTCCTGGATCCTGAAAGCCTAGGAACCACCGTCGACAGACGACAGGGAATGCTTGGATCCAAGGCCAAAAACACGGAGATCCTCTGGGAAAACAGCGACGAGGAGGAGGAGGTGGTGTTCCATTGTTCCGTCCCTGGGCACGTCATGCGTGTCCTCATCAACTTGTCGCCCAAGAAGGCAGGGCCCTCTCGCGTTCGCCTATACGAGAAGACAAGTCGAGAGGAGGAGGCCCAACTGGGCAGGGCAACTCTGGATTCCAGCTCCAACTACCCCGCGCTCCCATCATGGGCATCGGGAAATCCGTCGCGTAATCGCGTCAGCGAGAGGATTATTTTTTTGGACGAAAATGCAGGAGCGGTTGAGATGGATACCAGCGGTCTCTACACGTTCACAAAACATTCAAAATGGCCTCGGAATTTCAATTTTCAACTAGACATGTTGCCGGCGGGTCTGGCTGACTGGCTGTGGCTGAAGACTGATGCAACATGGTCTTGTTCTTTGATCTCCCTGTGATAGTGTGATCACACGGTCAAACTCAAACCCCACTAGCACTAGCCTTTCCTGACTTTTTATTCCAACGGCCATGAGGTGCACAGAGGTGATGAGATCATGCCATAGCTTGTCTCACCCCAAATACTAGTACTAATATTTTTCTTCTTCTTCTTTTCTTTGTTGGCGCGTGTTCAGTTCCACCCTAAATTCCTAAAAAGTGCTATAGTATATGTCACATCGAATGTTTGTGGCCCGTGCATGGAACATTAAATGTAGACGAAAAAAAAACTAATTGCACAGTTTGGTGGAAAATTACGAGACAGAACATTTTGAGCCTAATTAGTCCATGATTGAACATTAATTGCCAAATAAAAACGAAAGTGCTACAGTAGCCCCAAATTCCAACTCCTGAAACTAAACACGTGCTTGATTCCAAAGTCACAGCGTTGGTCGGAGCTGACTGAAACCGCGGCAAAACCATTTATGTTGCCAAAACGACAGTGTTCGCCAATATGCTTCTTTGATATATATAAAAAATAATTAATGGAGTGGAAGCCATATATTGCTCAGGATATTTGTAGCATGTAGGAGTAGCAATATGGGAAGGACAAGGGCCGGAAATCTAGCGTAAAGCTCACAAGAGGGGCCTGCAATGACAGACGTTGATCGATCAGAAATGGTGAGGCAATGCCCTTATCCTCAGGCTCAGCTGAGCAGCCCCTGTTTTCCTGTAATCTGCCTCTGCCTAGTGCCTAGCATTAGCAGTGCGCCAGTGCCCAGTGCCTGCTGGTCGCTGGACAGATCAGAGATACAGTAGATTCTCGCTTTTCTTTTCTTGTAGTGGGAATCCGGGGGGGCCCGGCCCCAATGCCCAAGTGGTGCTGCTGCCATGGCCAGATAGCCAAACAGGACCACGGACCAAACAGAATTGCTTACACTGTTTGCATCGCATTTGTACGCGAATCGCGAAACCAAATCATGATTGCAGGCATGCTTGGATGATTTAGATTAGAAAAACATGGTATTCAAAACTGTGGGTTTTATAAGCCCAAGAAGTGTAAAACTGAGGTTAGGAAAACATTTGTCATAAATGCTTCAACTCCAAACACTATGGTTTCAAACAAACCAGGTTTCAGAAACTATTCACTCCGTGTGAAAAAAGAATGCAAATCTATAACACTACCAAGTCAAACTATCTTAACTTTAACTCAAGTTTCAGTTAAAAAATATCAATATTTGTGATACAAAATAAGGATCATTGCATTCATATCGACGGAATGCATTCTATAGTATGCCTATTCGTTGTCATAGATACTCTAACGAATTTTTAGATGGTCCGGCTTGGAATAAAACTAGAATTACATCTCATACTTTTTAGCAGAAAGCAAGTTTGTTGCACCCCAACATCCAACGACGACCTTTAACACTTAAAAAAAAACTTTGCGACCAATTACATCTAAACAATGTTAAAACTAGAGGTGCAAGTGAGCTGGCCCATAAACCCGCTTGCATTATCCTAGTCAAAATGTATCTACTTTCCTTATTGTCGAAAAATTGTCTTAACATTCATCAGGAAAAAGAATAAAAAAACTGTGGTGTTAACGTTCCTCACTCCTCAGTAAACGGAGTAGGAAAAATCACCGACCACGATAGTAACCAAAGTTT